CCCGGGTCTCCTTCTCGGGCTCTGCCCTCTCTGAATTTAGCTCTTGCCTGCCCCGGTAGCGTGCCCTGAAGCTTCCCCAGGTGCAGTTTTATTTAATCGCTTCATATTTGCATGTAAATTTTATTCTTCATTTCCTTACATCTTTTTACAGAACGTTTCATACGTACAGCAACGCCTCCATAGATATATATTTATAGCTGTGGATTTACACATGAGTATATACCCCCCCATATCTACCTATATATATTAAGTGTGCATAAATATCTACACATACCTGTACGCCACCCTATCTATTAATATAGAGAAATAGAGGTAGCGCTGCTGACCGCGCTGACACCAGCAGCCCTGAGGCCATTCCCCCTCCCTCACATTTTGGGGTAGAATCGCCATGATGTGCCTCAATTTATATCTTGGGGGGCTTCAACACACAGCTTTGGCGGCTGAAGCAAAGGGGCCTGGAGAAGCGGTGTGGTTAGCAAAGACTTAGAAGTCTAAAATAAGGGGTTAAGGCCGAGTTCCCTGCTGGTTTTCTGTGTGTTTCTGCTGTATCCAGCCACAGAAACAACCGCAGGATGGGGGCTGGTGGTTGTTTAGTTGCTTACGCCAACTGGGAAGCGCAGGTGTTGCAATGAGGTTTTTAGAGTTGGATGTCCAAGCACTTGGGGGCATTTTTTTTGAATTCTTGACTTTTCTGTGTGCAGCTGTTCCCAGGCCAGCTGGCGTGAGGTGGCCGCTTGGGCCGAGTGTCGGTGAAGGCAGCTGCAGGATCCAAATCCTCGGCATCACGGGAAGAACGGGAATGTACACGGCTTTGCTTTCATTCGCCAAACCCCAGGCTGGTTTTGCTTCCAGTGGAATACAGAAACACCCGAGCACGCTTTCAGCCTCCTGGCTGCACAATCCCAGAGCCCCAGCCATGCTGTGCTGCGCTGCTGGCAGCAAAGCCTGTCCCTCAAACAGGCTAAGCAGATGAAGGAATCTTCTCTAGGTGCCCCAGAGAGATTTTCATATTCGTCTCATTGACAAAAGTATGGTTTGGTCAGTTTAAACACACACATCCTCCTCTGTCTGCTCGTGACGCCTCACCTGTGACTGAAAAATGCACAAAAGATCCTTTTGTTCAGGTTAATTAAACCAAATAGATTTTAATCCCCAGTTTAATATTGTAAGTAATATCAATAATAATCTCAGGCAAACCTCCTCCATGGTCTTTTAAAAAGGAAAGAGCTTAAATTATGCACATAGACCTGTAAAGTGTGTTAAAGTAGCAGGCTGGAGAGAAAAAGAAAAGAACAGCTGGGTCTGGGGCCACACGGCCTCATAAGGCCATGTGGGATCAGCGACAGTCCCTGGCCTGTCCCCCTCCTGCTCGTGGCCCTGCAGCATCACCCGACAGATCTTTGGAGGCTCCAGCGCAGCAATTGAATCTCCCCACCACCAGCTCCCCAGGCTCGCGGCTTGTCACATACTCAGCCGTGATGAGATCCAGACTCGTTAATTCCTTGGTGGGGTTTGTGCTCTCTTCTTGGCTCCGCATGATCAAGAGAGCGAAAAGCTCTTAATACCCTTGGGCTCATCTCTAGAGATGAGGTACTCTAGAGTATCCTGTTTGGGCTGCACTGTGTGGTAGCCAGACCTTCTCCTCCCAGCTCTCAATCAGTGCTTTATATAATGAACCTATTACCTCTTGTTTAATTGCTTTGTGGCAGCTCCAGGAAAGCCACTTCTTTCGTGTAATCCTTATGCGTATTTTCTCATTTCTCACCTCACTTCAGAAAGGCTCCTTTTTCTGAGCAGTAGTTTTTCCTCTCACCTGTGATTCCTCCACACAGGGTCTCCCAGCCTACTTGTAATGCCCACGGCAGCTTCAGAAAGAGGGGTTTTGAACCCCGGCACGTCCCAGCTACTAAACTGAACCTTGCCTGGACGTGGTGTGGGATTGCTCCTGGTACGTGAGCCACGGCAAAGAGAATTTGAAGAAGCTGCCACTGGTGATTGTGACAAGAAGCAGTAGTAATCCCAAGTGTCATCGTTGCCACCAGGATCGGCACCTGCCCCTGCTGCCGGTAGCAGTCACACCTCTTGTGGTGCTACCCCACTTACAGCGCTGATATCTGCCAATGGCGGTTTCACGTAGTTCTAATCCCTACCAAGCATCATCCTGGTTAGGAAGAGCTGTTAAAGGGGTTAGAAGGAGCAGGATGAATTTGGGGGAGGCATTCAGAGAAGCTATTTTATCTTGCCAGTATCACCAGAGAGGTGGTCAGCACTCCTGGAGATTGCTCCGGCATGGTGCGTGGCAGGGAAGGGTGAGCATGCCTTCAGGGCAGACACCGGGGAAAGCCCCATTCCTTTGAAAAATGTGTCTGCAGTTGTCTCTGGGTGGCAAGTTGTTCCCGTAACTCCTCCAGCGTAACTTACTGTCATGGCAAGCTTGACCATGTTGTGGTTCAGAGGATGCTCTGCTCGTGGCAGCCCTCCAGCAGCTTACTCCACCCACAGGACGTTCCCTCTGTGCAACTGTCAC